TGTCATTACCTCCCCTGTAATTGTGTCGTATGCCCTTAATACAAAATTCTGTCTGATTTCTGTCGGATTACATTTGGTAGAATCGGGACGCTGTCGGGACAGATTCGGTCCTTTTCTACCATGCGAATGATAAAAATCGGATTAGAATCGGATTGAGAACGGGATTGTCGGGACAAATTCGCTTGGAAACGGTTGAATATCGACGCTTCCTGAATAATATCTGATTGTTGTCGTGTTTAAATATATTTTTTTTTTTACAAATTTTAATTTAAGTTTAGAATTTCCATCCACGATTCAGAGGATTTTGATCAGACTTTTGACAAATTTTAATCGGGAATGGTCCTGTTAAGGACGGCATTAAAAATCGTAAATGTGTGACCTTAGCTTAAACTGAAAGACAAGACAAGACTAGACAAGACATATCACATACTTTTAAATTATATATACTAAACACAGATCCGCTTATTGAAATGATGGATTAGTGAATTATTGCAAACATTACATGAATAGCATGCGAAGGTCACGAATTAATATGTAGGTCCGCAGAGGTTAGCTAAACACCCGACAGTTGGGTGAGTTCCGTGACATTCAGGAAGACTCAACTGATATTATCTATAATCGGATTACAATCGTAACTTTGTCGTGACAGTTTCTGCTGTATTGGATCGAAATCGTAACAATCGTTATTATGTTCTGTGTTTTCTGGACGGTGTCCTGTTGAACGGACATGATCTGGAGAAATGTGTCATTGCTGTTTTTTGCCGATTGAGTCCAGATTGCAATAAGATCTTGCCTAATGCGAACAGTCTTTGCCAAAACCGTTCCGGATCAGTCCCGTTATTTATACGAAATTTGGCAATAATACCCACGGATATATATCTTCCGTCAGCGTCGGTTCACTGTCTGGTCACTCTCTGAACTCTGTCGGATCACATTCGGTATAATCGGGATGCTGTCGGGACATATTATGTCGTTCTTTACCATGTGAGAGATAAAAATCGGATTAATACTGATTTAAAACCGTATAATCGGGACAAATTCGGCTGGAAACGGCCGAACTTGGACGCTTTCTGAACAATATCTGATTGTTATGATTCAATATATGTTTTTACAAATTTTAATTAAAGTTTCAATTTCCAGCCCCGATTCACAGAATCTTGATCAGACGTTTGACAAATCTTAATCGGGAATGGTTCTGTCAAGGACGGCAGTAAAAATCGTGAATGTGTGACCCCAACTTAAGGCCGTTAGTTTTCTCGTTTGAACTGTTTTATATTTGTCGTTTCGGGGCAATGTGTAACTTACTATGCACTATTGGTTTTGCTCATTGTTGAAGGCCTTACGGTAACCTATAGTTGTAACTGCTACGTCATTTGGCATCTGTTTCAAACCATATCTTCTTATTTTCATATCGTAAATCGAAATCAGTCAAAATAAACTGTATCAACCAAATCATGAATGACTGTATAAGTTTTATACATATACGGTCAAAGTGTATGAACACATATGTAGTACATGGATGGAAAATAGTTAAATTTAGGCAGCTTAAGAAACGTTTAAAGGAAATGGCGCCTTTGTTTGTTTATTGTCAATAGGTTTAACAAAAATTCCAGAAGAACATAGGCATGAGAGAGATGGTAAAGTTTGTTAAATAGTTAAATGATTAGGAAAACGTTTTCCTTCATTGACAAATTCATTAGTAACTAATAAATAAGATTATAAATGAGATTAAGTTCAGACATGTAGTTAGTATTAAGGAACAGTGTTTTGATACGTCTTACTTGACACGTATGGTTTGTTTTTTTTTGCATTCAACTTCAGATCGGGATACTGAGTAGTAACTATATTATGTTTTTAATCTTCAGCTGGAAATATTTAGATGAGCATTTATCTAATCTTTCTAAATCTATTGAAACTTCTTATTGGACGGTGTTAAAACTCTATTTTACGTTATTTTGTATTGTGTTGTTTGATTTGTTGGTCTGCAGTCGAAATAATATTTTATCTTCAAATCATTCTATGATTTCATTGATCAATTATTTTTATTAATTTATTCACTATAGCTATGCTTTATACGTGTATTTGAATATTTTATGTTATTCTAGTGGCGATACTTTTTTTTTATTTAATCTGAATCTGCAAACTGTATAAAAACTTATAAACATTGTGTGTGGACAAATTATTACTTTGAAAAATGCACGGTATTTACATTTCAAATAAAACCCTACGAGTCATGTTATGCAATTCATGTATACCTTCAAATCTAATTTCTTTCAATCTTTTCCAATGTAGATTATTATACTATTCTATAAAACTGCACTAGCAGTAAGCCTGGAACTGTGTCACTGGTTATTTATATATTTTGTTAAATTATCAGGAAGTACATCTCTCCCAGCAGGTGCCCTTAGATAAGATTACCAACAAACACAGATGTGAACCGAAGAAAATTGTATTCCAAATTATTTACATTTCACATTATAAATTGTAATATGATTCATATCATGTGACTATTTCTGCAAAGGTTACTTAGTAATGTATTTAACGCCTTCAAATGTTTACTCCATTGTGTTGCAGAACCACAAATATGCATATGAAGGACGAATAAGATATGGGTCCCTTGTTCATACGCATTCGTTTTTTTTCCCTTCTTGTTGGAACACTTTTTTAATATTGTGTTTTTTTTTATTTTTATCTTAAATGACTGCGAATTATTAAATTCTCTAACTTAAATTCTAATGAATGAAATCAAAATATGAAAATCATTTTAATTTAATATACTCGTGACCAAAGTATCTGATCCAAATGATGCCATGCTCTACTCGTAATCGACAGAAAAGGACTCCCTAGCCACCCACCCCACTACAATAACAGTACTGATTATCTCAGATCTTGTTCTGACTTTTTTTTAATTTTAATTAGCTTGAAGTATCACTTTGACTAAGATAATTCAGTTTGCCTGGTCAGAAGTCATCAATACGTGATATCCTGAGGTGGGATTGCCGTGAGGAGACTTTATGACCTTACTTATGCTCTGTTTTTAACTGATGTATACGTAACTGTTTTGAATCAATACTTTTCAGTTTTATCTTGCTTTAACTTAAGCATTTGTATACAATCACTTCTTTCATATAGAAATATCTGACAAATGTACGTAGAAATATGCACATAATACGCATTTAAATGTACAAATAGTTTGACATTCAACTGGAACCATGGTGAACAAATTGTCATCGATCAATTTATGCTGAGTAGTTTCTTTCCAAATAACAATAGGTTATTTGCCAAATGTGTTTTATCTCCATGAGCATGTGCAATTAAAAAAGATTAAAGGTATAAATATTCTTTGTTACAATTAATTCACCTCAACTCAGAATTCTACGTATATATAACATATTATGGACATTTTGCTGTTTGTTTTTAAGCTTTTGGTGAATTTATTTTCTTTATCAGATAGCCAATGTCCATCATTTGGACATTAATAATTTGCTATGATGCAAAGAATTACTTTTCAGCTTTGTAGATTGTTAATGTTGTAATGTCAGATCCGCATCAATCGCATAAATGTCTATGCTTATTTGTACACAAGCTATTGACAGAACGTAATAATTATTGTCATAGTTATCAGTTTTTGTAAGGAATTCAATTGTTTGTTTATCTCCCGTTGTTAGATTTTCAAACATATTTTACAGTGTTTTTTTTTTTAGAAATATTTTTCTGTGATTTCGCATGATTTTACGGTCTTTAATTTGTTTACATAATAAATAAACTGTAAATAAATTCGCAATTGACCTCCACATGCATGATTTGCTATGTCGGAGACTGATAAAATAATAATAAATATAATGATTCTTTCTAGTGCATTACACCAGATTTTAAATAATCTTTAGTCAAGTTTGATTTATCTAGAGTTACTCCTTGTGTATAATAAAACCCATAGTTCGAACACAATTTAATAAATTCCTAAATTGTTATACAAATTTATATTTTAAATGTTAACTTTTTTATAATAATGAGTTGTCTTCCTTTCGACGTCGTTTAAGACAAAAGTTGTTATCTCCCATGTCCATTTTGACACTAGGCGTCTAAGAAAGACAACTCCACTTTGATCCAATATATCAATAAAATTATGAAATTTCATAATATTATGGTATTTCCTATTTGCCTCGACTGAAGATATTAGTTACCCTTTAAATATCATATCAATAGAATAAGAATTTTAGTTGCTATTGCATATGATTCTTAAAAAAGATTCGTAGGACAGGTTTTTGATAAAGGGTAATTAAAAAATCAAATTATTCAGTATATTTATATGTATATTTTTTAATTTTACATGTTTGCTTTCATCAAGGGGATATTCAATTTGCTTTATTCTATAATAATTATAAAATTATAATTATTAAATTTGCTTTATTCTATTATAATCATAAAATTATAATTAATAAATTATAAAACAAAATTAACACTTTATAGATTTGATTCGTCCGAAACATTTTGTTGGATATACCTTAGACTGGTTCCCGATCGCAATATTCAGTATGTTACACACTAATGCATGGAACGTAGTACCGGGAACCAGGATAGATATACCACCACCAGCAACGTTCAAACCCAAACATTTGAAAACCAAGGCAGTATTATACATTGTTGAATAAATGAGAAGCTATATGCCAAACAGGGACCTTGTAAGAATAGAAAACTCCATATAAGGTCAACTTTTCCCTAGAGAGTTGGCACCTTATTTTTTTCTAATAATTTCTTAATTTCTAAATTTTCAACGGATGAGGATGATTTCAAGTCAGTACCGAAGCACAGACTGACTACTGAGCCGATGATAACCTCGGAAAATTAGAGTCCACAAACGGCTGGTATATCCGAAGCGCTGCTCTGGATTTACTTTCATCAAGAACGCTACATAAAAATTGATATTATAATTATATTCGATATACATAAGCATATGCTCTAGTTAATCGTTCATATATCTATTTAACTTTTTTCTGTAGATTTCCAATTCTCCTCAAGTGATCATTGTGAAAGTCATTTTCAAAGTGAGTATTTTAAAATCAAATTAACAGAAAAACCAGAAAAAAAGCTACCAACATATATTTTTGAATGCACAATTAAAAATAAGAAAGAAGCCTGATACAACTTTATAGAGAGACATTTAAGGCCATGAACTATAATTGTTTCCTGCCTCTTTTCTTACTCGACAATGTTATGCCTATCCTAACTCAGATTAATTATAAAAATAAGATGAGGTATGATTGCCAATGAGACAACTCTCCACAAGAGACCAAATGACAAAGAAATTAACCAGTACAGATCACCGTACGTCCTTCAACAATGAGCAAAACGCATACCGCATCAGCTATAAAATGCCTCGAAATGACAAATGTAAAACAATTCAAAGGAGAAAACTAACGGCCCGTTTAGGGTATAGCACAGTTTAAGTATTCACATTTTGGCTAAGCACTGTTAGAGTCTAGAACATTTTGTATTGTCTACTGTGGATTCATTAATATATATGGGATACCAATTTTCGTCGATTTGGTGCGAATAGGTAAACCACGAATTAAGATATCCAACTAAATGACAACTATCTATAGGCTTGTATGCAGACTTAATCGAAACCACAAACCAAAAATCCACGAATATACAATTTTTACTCAATCCAAGAAAATTGGTACCCACGAATATAAACGAATCCACAGTATTTGAAATATTTAAAAAAAAAGATTGTATCTGACGACTGGCACAATTCGGAAAATCTCGGCAGATTCCGCTGTAAGATCTACTGAGGTGCGCCGAATGAGTTATACACTTGAAAATTAAAAACGTAAGGTAAGCACTCAACTTTTTCTGTTTAACATAAATAACGTTACATAATTTCAACGACTTCGTAAATGGCTTCTTGAGTAATCAGTAAATTCAAAGAAACTGATGCTGTTAAAATGCAACATAACTTTGTTATTGGTATATATCGTTACTGACAGTTAGATTTAAACAAAAACATTAAATCTTTATTTGGAAACAAATTCATTATTATTGAAATATTTACTAATTCGTATTTTATATATCGTTTACAGAACTCCTTGACCATTATGGAAAAGCACATCAGCATCCTTGTCAGACTCATCATTTCTGTGAGTATTGGTTACGACCATGCCAATAACACAAAACACACAACTTTCCTTGCCATCATTGTAGGACAAGTGTATCTGGCAGTGTGATCTCAAAACTTATTCATATATCAAATTATAGTTCTCATTCAACAGATTGAAAAAAGAAAAGAAAAAAATTATTTCTCAAAATTTGTAAAGAACAGCAGTATTCATGTGAATGCTGTGGGGTTTTACAGCACAAAACATTGGTTTCGTGTGAATAAAAAAACTCCAATGTAAATTCAAAAATGGGAAATCCATAAATGTCATATACCTGACTTGGTACAAGAAAGACGAAAATGATGGGTTAAACCGGGTTTTATCATAGTTCTTTTTTAGCTCACGTGGGCCACGTGAGCTTTTCTCATCACTTGGCGTCCGTCGTCCGTCGTCGTTGTCTGTTCACTTTTACAAAAATCTTCTCCTCTGAAACTACTGAGCCAAACTTAACTGAACTTGGCCACAGTCATCATTGGGGTATCTAGTTTTAAAAATGTGTGTCCGATGACCCTGCCTGCCAACCAAGAAGGCCGACATGGCTGAAAATAGAACATAGGGGTAAAATGCAAGTTTTGTCTATTATTTTGAAAACCGTTAAAAATAGAGAAAATCTGACTGGAGCAGAAATGTTCAGGATGTTGAGCTTACCAATTGTCGATATACGTCAAAACTGTCAGACGACTTTTTGTAGGAGTTATTTCCCTTAAATGACAATTTTTTTTCTATTTATGCCTATTATCTTGAAAACTATAATAGATAGAGAGAAACTGTAAATTGCAAAAATGATCAGCAAGACAAGTTCTACAGATAAGTTAAATGTACGAAATGGTCAGCCGACTCCTTATTAGAGTACTTACCCTTTGATGATGCTTTTTACCAATTTTTTGCGTTTTTGTCTTATATCTTAAAAATTATAATAGATAGATAGAAACTAAAATAAGCAAAAGTGATCAGCAAGACAATATCTACAATTAAGACAACATAGAGGAAATCGTCCAACGACTCCTGATAGGTATTATTGCCATTTAATGACGATTTTAACCAGTTTTTTACGTTTTGCCTTACATGATAAAAATTATAATCGATAGATTGGCACTTTAAATCACAAAAATGATCAGCAAGACAAGATCTACTAACAAGTCAAATTTTGCCGATATAGGTAGAAGACTGTCACTCTTTATAGGAGTGATTGCCCTTAAACGAGGATTTGTTTTACCCTCTTTTGTGTTTTGAGCAAAAACTAAAGAAGATAGAGAGAAACTAAACAGACTAAATGATCGGCAATACAAGATCAACAAAACAGAGATTTTTGTCATGAATTCTATTCTCGTCTACAATGTTGGAGAGTGTTCTTTGTTGAATATGCACATAGACAAAGGTGATCGACACTCTAGTTATGTTTCTAATATCATTTTTCATGTCAATGATACGAACTCCTATGCGACCAACAATGTTCTTATAGGGAGGTTCGGGGATTGCTTAGCGTTAAAATATCTTATCAAAGGCATTTAAAAAAGTAAAATAAAGTAAAATATTGAGACATTTTTGTGCACTCTTTGACAGTTTTAATAAAGATTGAGATCCGGAATTAAAAGAATATCCAGACTCTCCCTCTCACTTAAACCATGTTTGGTGCTTTATACAGTTATATCCCTATATGTGAGTACCCTAGTACTGTATTCGTTAAGAGATCTCTTACTCTAAATGCCATGTTTATTTGTAATAAACAAAAAAGGAACCAGCAACCTTACACCGACATTAACAGAATGACATAAGATAATAAATAGCAAAATCGTTAACTTTCTTTATTTTAAATAGACAAAAAGAAATGCAACCTTCGATTTTGATGATATCATGCCTAAAATTATATTGTTTTTTTCGTAGTATGGAAAGATCTGCAGCTGATACCGACTGACAGAAATGGTCAATACGATCACGCTTGTATAAATGATTTGACAAAAACATTAGATAGTAGTAAGTATTTATGCTATAAGACTTGAATACTTAAGAAAGTCATTATTTTCTGCCAGAGAAAAAAAAAAGTTTTTGCGTTTTAAACTACATAAACGTTTTCTGAGAGAAGTCTTTTCAACATTCAAATGTATTGCTTACATTCACGTCAGTTGGTCTCTGGTGGATATTATTTCTTATTGGAAATCATAACAAATCTCCTTATTGATGTACTAGTATTGTAAAATGCCATCACGCCATCGAGATTTCACTTCACAGTGACCAAACTCCGAAACAGTGGTAACGTTATTTTTGCTATGTTATGCTGACTGAGTGAAGCAAAGCAACGTCATAGCTGTTTGGGAGTTTGCACAGGGACCTACCTAGCTGACTTTCCAATTACGCGGAACAGGATTGTTTCTTTCAAGTTATTGTGTTGATAATAGTGTGTGATACGATTTTTTTAAGAGAATTAGATGTTTCCTTTACCACGGTTCACAAATATAGATTTACATTCCGCAGGAATTTATTCTTGGTACTCATTTGCAGATAAAAATTTTAAAGATATAAAAATAAACCCAGAAAATCACTCTAATATTAATGTACCTTTTAAACAATCAAAAAAGTGTTAAAATGTAACTTAAAAGTGTGTTTCAGAGGAATATGAAAAAACTACTTTAAATAAACTTTCAAAATTGGATTCCTCATCCAAACTTTGTCTTTATGGGAATATTTAAATTGCAATAATTTTATACATAGGCAGTTACTCTCAAAATTTGGACTTAGTAATCATTCCCTAGGCATTGAATTGTGTAGATATAGAAACATTCCAAGAGCACAACGATTATGTAAAAAATGTGGAGTCCTAGATGACGAATTTCAAATCATTTTGTATGGTGACATTAACATAGCATTGCGTTTAAATTTTTGTGCTTATCTAAATGTACCATTATTTCAAAATCTTGATGCATTTAATAAACTAAAACTCATTCTAAACCCCACCCCTGAACTTGTTTGTCATATTGGAGTCTTCATTAAGCAGTCTTTAGAACTGAGGGGGTCAGACCCATGTCAGACAAGTTTATAATTGTGTATTTTACATAAATTTGTTAATTGAACTCTTTCTTAAAATATGTTCTATTGTATTGTATTGCATTGTATTGTATTTAATTGTATTGTTTGTTTGTATTGCTTTGACCCTTATGGGTGTTATTTTGTAATAAAGATTATTATCAACTAAACACACGTAATGTCAATACCACTGAATTGATTAGAATAAGATTTTTTAAAATAATTTCTATATATGTGTGTTATAATTATTAATACATCAACGCTTTAATAATACGAATTTGCAGTATAAAGTCAATGCAGTTATTGACTTTTCAATATCAAACTTTCTATGGCCATAATATGATAATGAAAGATCGAAAACCCATGTTATAGATATGTTTCGAATGACGTAATTTAATATTTAGGTTGGCCCTTGGCCGCCATTTTGGAGGGATACACGGTTGATTTTCTTATTTGACTATCCCAATTCAAACACGCGATACGCACAAGTCTGATAATCTGATAAGAGATCACTACTAGATCGTAGCGATGAAGTAAGCAAGACTAAAAGAATTTAAATTGTTCAGAAAAACCCTTTTTATAATGTCCAGCGGTCAGTATTACAAGTTGAATTTGGCTGATTTATTAAGGACTTTACGCTATTAGACCTCCAATATAGCGAAAAAAGGGAAGTAACTATTGTTACAATTGTGCCGATCAAAACCTATCTATAAAGGTTTTTGTAATTCTATCATTTCGTTTGATTGATTACTGTTTGGTTGTAATTAAAAGAACATTTTTTTTTAAATCTGTCATTTTCTCCCTACCCAATTTTCCGCTAACACTGATTCAGATATGAGCTGGTCATTGTTATTGTATCTTATGCAATTTGATTGGATCAAACTATCATTGCTTCAACTTTTCCGTATATTTCATTATGGCAACATAAGCATAAAGACATGGATGGCAACTGTAAGGTAAAAAAAATATTTAGGAAATCATAAAATTACTTTTGTTTGTCGATTACCAATTGGCTATGATTTGCTTTTTTGGTACCTCATCTATGAAATGTACAAGTCTAAGGAAATAACGCATTGATTTACTGTGTACATATGTTACTACCAATGTTCTTATACTTGATACGTCATGATTTAATCATTTAACTCTTTTCAAAGTAATTTGAAAAATTTAGACTTCATTAACAAAATTGTATTCTGTATATGAAAAACTTAATATTTAAAAAAAAAAAAAGATCAATTTGCAATCTTTTTACACGTGTAAATTAATCAAATAGACCTCCGAACTGGACACGAGTCTAGTTCATGTATGTGTTTGTCAATAATAAAAGTTCCCAGTTCTTACTATCTCACAAAAATTACAGAGAATATTAGAAATAGCACATTTCAAAATGTTGAGAAAGTTTACAGACGATGCGTTTTCATTCTTCGAAATTGTAATTACTTTAAAAAGGAAAAATCGAGGTATTTATCTAAATTGCATAAATTGTCAACAAAATATTAAAGTTTTAATGATTAAATCCTCTGCATGAACACATATTGAGCACATTATGCTGTATACGTTCTGTATAAAGTAAGTTTGAAAAAAAATTAATTTACTTTTTTTTCTCCCCGATGCCATGACTATAGCTAAAACTTACTTTGCAGTATAGGTATTGCTCCGGGAAGGTTTACTGCATACTCTGAAATTACCACAGAAAAGAATCTCACCTGTAATATTAACATTTTATTTTACTTTGGTTTAGTGAAAATATATTGTTATTTTATCCCACTCACTGAGTCAATGGTTACTGCAGTCACCTTATCTGTCAGTTCGTCCGTCCTTTCATCCAACCAAAACTGTTATCACATATATTTCTCAGCTTATGTAATGTTTAGGAAAGAGTTTATATTTGGTCTGTAACTTACTATGATATATTGACTCGTTTAAGGAATCTTCAGATCTGCTGGGCAATCACTTCCTGCGTGACAACTTTTGACATTTAATGATGGCAACTGATCTTGATATCTTTTGTAACATATTTCTAAGCTTTTGTATAAAGGAAGGATTTGATATTTTTCTGAAACTTAGTTATGTTGAGTTGTACCATGTAAGTGATTTTTAAACCGATATTTATAACGTCACAGTAACGGCACAGGTGACATTTCTTCACTTAAGTAAATGAATTAAACACTTGATAATTTTCGTGCGCCATACGCGCTTTTCTGGATTAAACTTCATCAGAAACGCTCAAACTTATACATTTGTGAGCCATGTGTGTTTAAATACAGCTATATGACGAAAATAATCTAAACATAATTACTAACTTCATCATACATGTAATTAAAGGCCTACGTTGGCTGTGTTAAGTAATAAGACAAAACCATTTTATTCAAGATCAGTTATCAATGATAATCATTTCAATAAACTAAAATAATTTCTTTTTGAAATTAACATAATTTTGAAAGATTGAATAATTTTTCCTTTTTTTTCCTTTTTGAAAATTCTTCATTTTTACATTTTCTTTTCTACAAAAACTACTACAATAATAATACTTATTTCCATTTATTTTTTCAACCAGCTATGCGTGCATCACGTAGTAATTGTCATTGCGTGGAAACTGGACATCATGGACAATCTGGACAACAAACAGGTAAGACATTTTCACACAGGAAAAAAAGTTGCAGTAATTGAAAAAAAAAAAAAAAAAAACCAGGAAGAAAAATATCACATTCAAAACATGCATACTTGATTTTGTCTGAATTTTACCTTTTCAATATACAGGTAAGAGCATTCGTTCTAAGTGCGAAAACAACTTGACGCATACGTTCCAATATATATTGATTTTCTCTCACTAAAAAATGCAAAGTTTGGTGACTATGTTGAATCATGGAAGTAAATTGAAATATACTGAGTGCCAATGAAAACGCAACACTTGTAAATTTCAAATATTTAAAAAAATGTAAATATATTTTTTTTAAATGATTACCTATATCGGTTTGAAAATGAATTGTCAGACTTCTTTCGACAACTTTACGCTTGAATGATTTAAAAAAAAAGTTACGTGCTTGGTTACAGAAAAGGGGGAGAGTCGAGTGCACCGCTATTTTACGCACGAGTGATTTTCTCATGTTTGTTTTGGAAAGCCTTGCTTAAGAAATGAAATTTCTCATCCTCTTTTGTAAGCCACTGCAATAAACTTAAGCGTAGATGCCAAGACTTTCAGTCTACCAGAGACATGAAGTTTGGGGCATGGTGCAGCAAGGAGGCATTTCAAGTCGTGAAATTGCACGCAGAATGCAGTGTTCGGCCTCAACAATTACCAGACTCATCCAAAGATTCAACCAAACTGGGTCTTTGAATGATAGGCCACGTTCCGGAAGACAGAGAGCAACTACTGCCCAACAGGACCGATACATTGGTCTTCAGCACCTGCGAGATCGTTTCCGTACGGCTGTCCAATCAGCACGAGAGACTGTCGGTGTCCATAGGAGACAAATTGGAGCAAACACAATAAGACACCGTTTGCGCAGCAGTGGATTAAGGGCACGGCGGCCTTTCCGTGGTAACATGCTGACAGCAGTACGACGCCAAAATCGCCTTAGATGGACACAACAGCGTCAGAGATGGTCACACAGGCAATGGACAACTGTCTTATGGACGGACGAATCAAGATTCCATCTTCGCCGTAGTGCTGGACGAACTCGTGTGTGGAGACGAAGAGGAGAACGCTATGCAGATTCATGTATCCAAGAGACAGATCGTTGGGGTGGTGGTAGTGTCATGGTATGAGGAGGAATATCGTTCAACCATAAAACTCCACTCATCACTATCAATGGCAATTTAAACGCCCAACGCTACATTGATGAAGTTTTACGGCCGACCGTTATACCGTTTATGGCTAGGCATCAAGATGTTAATCTTTTTGACCAAGATAACGTTCGTGCACACTCCGCACGACTCACAACTGCGTTCATCAATAACAACCATGTTCAGACATTACTATGGCCATCCTTTTCGCCGGATTTGAGTCCAATTGAACACTTATGGGATCAAATTGGACAAGCCGTAAGACGACGACAGCCACCACCAGTTGCGCTGCGCCAACTTGAAATTGCATTGCGGGAAGAAAGGACAAATATTCCACAACACCGTATCCGACTTCTTGTCAGGTCAATGCCACGTTGTAGAGATTGCGTTGCTTCGCGCGGTGGAGACTGTGAGTTAGTGAATTGTAGCGTTGTGTTGCATGAACGCATAGCATTCGAATCGTGGTAATTGAACATTTTTTTTTGACTTTTATCTTTAGATAAACTCATTAACTGTCATTAACAATTACTGTAAAGAAAATATTATTTTGTATAAAAATGTTATTTTTACAAAAACAAAGTGTGGCGTTTTCATTGGCAATCAATATATAATACTTCCATGGTTGAATGCATCTATATTATCGAACTTGAATAACAAGTTGCTTTCTTTAAAAAAAGAAATGCAATCGTGAACCTAAATGCCTGGGCTCGTATGCATAAAACTTCTTAACTTAAGTGTTCCTTAAACTTAGGTTTCACTAAGAATTCCCTTAGTTAATTAAAATTCTTAAGTGGTATGCATAAAATTACTTAAGTCATCACTTAACTAAGGAATACTTAAATCGGAACCTTTCTCTAATTACCGTATGATATATGTTAGCTCATCGCATGTACTCATCCGTGCAAACCTTAACGTTTGTTTTGATTATTTACTTTGATTGAACAATAAATACTTTTAATAACTGGTTTTTAATGGATGTTGGTGTGTAAAACAATTAAAAAATACGTAACCGCTTTAAATGTCCGAACAAATAAAAAATTGGAGCATAAGAGAACAAATATTTATAAAGCAAAACTTCCCCCTACTGTTACTAAAAGTGAGATGAAACGAGCTTGACAGGAAATTGATTGATTTATTGATGTTTCCTAAAGTCCAATGGCAAATATGTCAGGCATCATCAGGACGAGAACAAATTACGAATACCAATATCTCTCTACACGAGGCATCGGATTTAACGTCCCAATTCTGACCGGACGTGGTTGCGTACTTATACACCATGGAAAAATGGACGCCCCATTTTGAAGAGGGTTTTACCGCTGGTCGGAAAAAGACCAAAGTAACCGTATTTCTATACGCCAGTCACTCTTAGTGATAGAAGAAAATAACAAATATAAAGCAATATAATAAGTAGGGAACATTAAACGAGGAGAGATTTTTAAGAGATCCAAAGGAAGTGGGACAACTTATGCATGGCGTGAAAAATGTAAAATATCAACAACAAAAATCGAATTATCCACTAGCAATTTTGTTTTATAGCAAACAAAACTTCAATTACACGAGGAGTCTCTTAATGGATACTAAACATTATCCTGTAGCCAATCATCTAGCTAATAATGATATATGATAGTAAGATCTTCATTTAAAAAAGCTTCCTAGTTGTCGTATTTATCAAACAGATTTGTTCAATCTCTAAGGCACCGACCATTCATCTGTCATGGGTGTTGCTGGATGGAAGGCATGTTTATTTTCTAGAGACAACAATACATTTTTTAATTCTAAAATACATGATAAGATATTTTGAAATCTATTTCGATTTGAAACTTTTTTATCGCTCCCTTTTTACAACAATAAAAAAAGAGGGTAGGATCAATTTTCCACGAAATCATAGCAAGCCAGGGACCTTTTTCAAAAGCCCTTAAATTTTTTACTAAAACACACATTATTAGATTCATATGTTTTCTGTAAGGTATTATCAACATCTTTGCGTATTTCCAAATATTTCACTTGAAAGTTATCAACGCGAAAAGATAACTCAAAACTGCATGCATTCTTGCTAGATTTTAGAAAATTTGAACAATTATCAAAAAGTGGCGAGAAGGATTTTCTTAACCAAAACCAAAATTTATTGGAAGTTATAACATAAATTTCTTTCAGATGCATCAAAATTTATTTAAGTTAAAGTCTTCCTTCTATGCAAAAGTTGCAATATTTTCAATATATCACTGAATATATAAGGAAATACAAAAAAATATTGAATACGGATTAAGTATCATGAATATATCATATATATAAACTTTGAATTCCTCGGAGTAGGTCTTAAAACGTTTTGATTTTGTCCCAGTTAGTGAAACAAATTCAGGGGAAATTTGCCAAATATATGTAGAAAAAAACAATATAATTGAAAATTAAACCGATGTCCCCCCCCCCAAGAAAACAGGATTTTGCATGCTGAAAGATCCTCATCGCTTCCTTCCTTCATACAGTTTTGTACTAACAGTTACAATCGATACCAGACGTTGTATATTATCAATCTAACATTTATGTTATTTGTGTAAGCAGGCACGAACAAATCAAAAGAAAAATAATTGCATGAATTCCATGCGTGTAAAAACTGTGAGTACTTTTCGGAATACACACCAACAACGAGATTGAGAAATAAAGGTAGAATGAAATTATAAAACTACCATCTGTTATCTCTTGATTTTGTTGATTATAGGTGATTTTATGAAAATTACAATGATCGTTAATATTTAGAAATAAACAAACGAAATATTACTGAATATAATTATTATTCAATTAAATAGGAGCTAATCTATCAATGTTGTGCAAAAAACGCATACATTCGACTGATTCTATATATTTTAGAAAAGTTAAGGTAGCTCTATGGGTACCTTATACTTAAGTATAATCTTAGGCGTGTTCTTAGTATAAGGGGTTTTATGCATGCCACTTAAGTTGTGTGGGCGTGACTTAAACCAACTAATATTTTACTAAGGAAATACTTAGTTTAAGATTTTTTATGCATACCTCTTAGGTAAAAAGGGCGGAGTTTCCTTTATTTAAGTGTTTACTAAGGAAATTCTTAACTTATGTAGCTTTATGCATACGGGCCCTGTTTTGGCATGAACGATCAGATAGCTGATACATACAGAAGCATGATTTTACCTCATTTTTAAATTTAAAATGTAAAAAATTAAACTGATATGGATTTTTAATGAAGCTACTGTTCTATGTGGGGTATAATTTTCTTGTTAAAGAAATAATTTCTCTCTCTCCCCTCCCTCTCTCTTCCGATCATACCATTACAACATGCAATCTGATTAAAACTCAGATCTATCTTAACTCGCGTGCTCGTACATATAAGCATATGAGGATAACGAAAACATCTATATTTAGATTAGATTGTGCAACATGCTAAATAAGAGGCAACCACTGATGGTTCCATTTGGAGGTGCTATTTTGGAAATTAGAGGTAGCTTCATGGCTAAAGTCGAAATGTAAATGTGAAAACAGTCTGTGTTTTGAAGAAGTTTGTGAAATGAATCATGATTATTTGTTTGTAGCCAGTTTGAAAATAGTTCAAAACTTCTAAGCTATATTCGTATTTGTCAATTCTGAAATAAGACCGTTTTGGAAAATCAATTACACTGGTTTATATGGTTTGGTCATTGGCTATTCGAGAAATGCTTGATCTCAATTTATTTATACCCCAGGCAACAAACTCAAAACTGACTTTTAGAGTAGAAACAATTTTTAAACCTCAACTTTATACAAAATTAGTTTTCACAAAATTTCGTTTTATACGGATATTGATTTTAAGAAATATAATTTTTTACTAAGTTGTCGCCAAAAACGCTCTAGACCTCTGCAACTAAAACAAATTGACGGAATTCCCAGAAACTTCCACTGATTCCTCTTTAGGTGGGACATGAATTTGTGCACCAGCTACTTCAACTTTTAATCTGATTTTTTTAGGGGAAGGTGGGTTGTTTCACATACCGAAAACAAAAGAATTGACTTTGCCATTTATAACTATATATATATATATATATATGTTTTGGAGAGGGAAGTCGACACACGTGTCCTTTGGAAAACTCACACATTATCCTAAAAAAAATTAACATACGCATCTCTAATTTTATAAAAAAAAAAACATGAATAGATGATACTCATCTTCCTGTTATTATAAGTCTTTGGACAATTGCTAATCTATCCTCGCAAACCACATACCGGTAGTAATTTATGATAGTTTTCAATGCCAAACATCGAGGAATATATCAAACCTCAAATTGTTTTATTTCATTGACCATAAGTTTTAAATAAATAGTGAGTCATCGCCTCAACTCCAAAGAAAATCACTCAGTTTCTGTAAATCTTTTCTTATCTTTAGAATTATTTTAAGGTCTCAAACGCATATTCATTTCAGAACTGTTTCGATGTGACTTGTAATTTCTGAATTTAACACACATAAAATGTGCCTTTAAATTTCGTCGTAATTTCCAGAGTTTACTTGTATTTTAAAATAAGATTAAGTATGGTTTCTAAATAAAAAAAAGAGACCACGTGATGTAGAAGTTAACAGCTATATGTCACCGTACGGCCTTCAACAATGACAACAATGAGCAAAACCCATACCGCATAGTAAGCTATAAAAGGCCCCGAAATGACAATGTAAAACAACTCATACGAGAAAACTAACTACCTGATTTCATTTAGTTGTCATTTATTATAATTATTGCTTTGTTTCCTTATTTATATTTAAGTTTGAAAAAAATGTAGAACCTTAATTACTATAAATAGAAATTCATTGTCTTATCTCTGACTGTATCTATCATCACTCAGTCTCCATAAAAGACATTTGTTATTTTATTTCTGACTCTGTATTAGTATTAGTTTCACCACTGCTATTGCATATGCATGATAATTATTTCTGTTAAACGACATCACAAACATCAAGCCCAAACATTTAATTATTCTTTCAGAATCGTCAAGACACCGCTAAAATATATTAAAAAATATTTTTTTTTGTAGCATCTTATATCTGCATTTTTCACACCTCAACGATTCTTTTAGGTTCAATTTGTTTTTCTTTGACTTATTTTCTTTTTGTTTTAATTAATTTTTTTCCAATATTTTACCAGTTTAATAATATGTGATTATAATAATTCCGTTTTTGTTATTTTAATCAAACTAGGAACAATTTTAGAAACACCTTGATTGTTCCCACCTTTCCTGGACGTAGAATTTTAATTGCTGCTTAAACGGACTTACTCTTTTTTTTTAATTTCGCTAAAATGGCTCAGTTTGAAAATCGTAAAAACGCCCTATCCATTGACCGTCACTATTTCGCTTAAAATCTACTTGATCTCCAATGTGAACGCAGCTTGTATTTCAGAAACCTTAACATATGCGACTCTAATCTAATTATCTATTGATGTACGATATTAATCAGTCTCGATTAACACTTATCTCTATAGCAACTGTTTAATACATAGTCATTAGATCAATTCATTACCTATTACGCAGGTGGCCATAGAAAAGAACAGATGTATTCCGAAAAGACAGTAGGCATTTTCGGTATTCCAAAAGACTACAGCATAAACCAATATATATATGTGAACCCTCATGGTTTCACACAAAGAATACAACACATACACTTAGGTCTGCCTCTTATCTTGACCTACATAAAGAAATTGACAATAAAGGTCGATTGAGAAGAAAAATTAACGACATAAGAGATAATTTCAGTTTCCCAATTGTGAACTTTCAATTTCAGTGTAGCAACATTCTAGAAGCGCCTGCATATGGAGTATATATCTCCCAGTTGATACTATATTCCAAAGCTTACATTTCCAACTATGATTTCCTTTGATAGAGGGTTGCTACTTACGAGGAAGTTATCAATCAAGAGTTTCATATGATGAAGTTGAAATAATCACTTCGAACATTTTACGAATGCAATCACGAGTTGGTTGACCGTTATGTAATACCTGTTTCACAGATGACGCCTGATAAATTTCAATTGTCTTAACCATAATCCCGTCCTCTTTTACTCCAATTTGACATAACGTATTAGAGTTATCTATGGGTCTTAACTTACATGAGCCACATGACGGGTGTCACATGTGGAGAAGGATATGCTTACCCTTCAGGAGAACCTGATATCATCCCCGGTTTTTTGGTTGAGTTTGTGTTTCTCAGTCTATAGTTTTCTTTGTTATGTTTTGTATACTGTTTGATTTATGAGTTTGAATTTCCCTTTGGTATCTTTCGCCCCTCTTTTTGCCGTGTGAAAAAAAAATAACAAAATGTACTTTTTTCGGAAAATAGGAGAAATAAGAAAATATCAGTCTTAGGCCAGTAACTGTAGAGGGTTTTCATTGTGACATTTATTTCTTTGACATATATCCTTGAATTCAACAAAAAACAGTAGTGTTAGCACGTACACATTATCTCTTTTGTACGTCTGAAGTGCATTTATGGTTAACGTTAACTCGAAACCAAAAACTAGAAACTGGGGATGTATAAATACCTCAACAGATATAGGACAAAAAGTAGTTTAACCCCGCCACATTTTGTGCCAGCACCAAGTTATGATATATGGACACAATTTTGGTGGTTCTTTTGTTTGTCTCTTTTGAAGGCGTAACATTTCAATTACTTCACAAATTGTGTCCATATTTTGGTGGTTCTTTTGTTTGTCTCTTTTGAAGGCGTAACATTTCAATTACTTCACATATCGCCATTAACAGTGGAATTATAAAACGATAGCTCTACAAATGAATTTAAAGATTTAAATACAACATTTAAATGACAAGATGTTATTTTGATACGATATTGATCAAAAACTTTATTCTAGTTAGGGATTATAATGGTGTTGTCCTTCGGTGAAATGCACATGCATTGAGCTTTTCATGGTTTCGCTGAACATAACCAAAACGAAGCATTTAATACGATACACAAAGTACACATAATTGAAGTTACTTATATAAGCTGTTTTTTTTTCTTCTTTGCAAAATATAATTCCTCATGAACAGATAAAGGATGGGGAAACTGTCTACGTAACTTATCGTCTGAAAAGCACGAAAAAGGGATTTTTGTTCCGAACTTTTATTGTGCCGTGATCACTGATTGGCAGTTGGTCAGGGACTAAACTACAAGGATTTTTTCTGATTCGATTCTCTCAGGTTTTTTTAAAAGGAAAATTTCTGTTAATAAAACCCTTTTGTTTTTTAATTAATGCAGTTTCAAAACCTTCCAATCAATGCATATTCCTAGGATTGAATGAATCAAACTAATAAATGATAAACACGTTCTTTGGGTTTGGTTTCAGTACATTATATGTTTTTTCTTCAAATTTCAGATCAACCAACTACAAGCGCTCCAGTGTCGACTATGTTTAATATCAAACAAGGTAAATTAAAAATCTGGATATTCTTTCCATATGTTTTATACTTGACGATGGTAAAAAATTAAATGTTTTTTATTATCTTTCATCTACCTACGATAACATAAAAGGCTGGCGTATAGATAAAGGGAGTTTTTGTGACATTGTATAGACAACATCATAAAACACACTTTTCAATATATCGTGTGAAATGTGTGTAGGCATCACAAACAAGACCAGTTCTTTTTACAGAAAAATACGCCGTATTACTATCAATTTTTGTAACGGTTTAAAATTTTGGCAGTCGTTACAAACAGTACTTGGACTGATTTGAAAGCAGATGTCTGATAAACTTTCACAAAAAGTGCAGGAAAAACGTTACAATGGGATATGACAAATACAATTTGAAATACAAAAAGTCTACTAATTAGGACAGAAGGTCATTATGGTCATTATTTTGTTCCAAAGTGACAGCATATTGAAAAATCACTGGTATTTAAATATTTGCTACAAATAAATAAAAGACCAATCAAAGTGCAGAGAAAACTTCTGCTTTTAATATGTACACTAATAAATTGCGTATGTAAAGTTGAAACTATTTTTTTTCAGTATACGATGGCTGTAACAATCACAATGCGAACGGAAAAATAACAGGTAAAATGATTTATTTACCTGAAGTCAAACTACAGCTAATTTCATATCACCCAGTAGTTTTTGTGAAAATATATAAAGAACCCTTTGACGGCATTATCGTGTGTAAGTAATAGTGTATATAAGCAGGGCAAATGATATGCAATCACTAAAGAATGGAAATTTTGATAAAAAGTAATATATAATCGTCGCGTTTGTCGCTAACGTACTATAAAGTCCTTAATCATCTTTAATTTCTCGAAACGATTCATCTTATAATGTAGTGCGTGTGGGTGTGTATGGACCCTTTCATAACCTACTTAAATGAAAATAATCTGATGTCAATAAATTTAGAGAAGAATTACATCATAACAAAAACTTTTCATAATGGCGCACTCTTAAATCATAAAAAGCTTGAATAATTTTTTTTTATTGAATTATTTTAGGTGTTTAATATCTTATTTGCTATCTTTATAGAATTGTTAAATGGCATTAACAGTAGTCCATGCATGCCAGATACTCAAGGTATATTGAAAAGTATAGAGGGTAACTTAGAAAATGTGTTTATATCATAATTCTCAAACGCAACTGATTTACATTCACATTATTATATCCCTGCATAATTAACATAGCCATTATATTGATTGATTGATTGATCGGTGTTTAACTCCGCTTACAACAATATTGTTCTAGTTAATGGCGGTCAGTTTTTATTTGGTGGAGGAAACCGGAGTGCCAGAAGAGAACCACCGACATTCGGTAGAAAAGCTGACAATCCTAGTCAATCAATATAAGAATCAACGCACCTGCCACGTTCAGAAAGTCATTCTCGTAATCTCGATGTATTATAGTTAGATAAGAGAAAACAACTTTTACGGGAATCTTAATCAGCTTTATTTTTTACGCACAACTTTTGGTTCAAACACTTTTTTTCAAAATGTTGCATGATGTTACCGGTTATTATAAAACGATAAATGTGATGCACATTTTACATCATATCACATCTAACAAGAAGAAACATTACTCATTTCACATTATAGCAAATCTAATCTGAAGCACTAAATTATGCATTCTAAATTTTATTTTTCATCAGGGAAGTCCAAAAATATCAGTAAGCAAAATAACCCTAAATGTGCACAAAAGGAATCCAAAGTAAAGGATATCATATTCTTAAAACAAACCAAAAACGAGAAGTATCCGATTTAAAAGATAAATATTTCCCAACTGAACGACAGACGTTTATTATCCATTGGATAACCTTGATATACAGGACTGGCACCATAATTTATATATACTTCGCCTGAAATTGTATGAAGTTAGCTAAACAATGTTAAATCTAAAAAAAAAAAAAACTCTTCAAAAATACCAGGATTATGATTTTGTTCGAAAGATGTTCAGCGGGATTCGAACCACTCCTTGTCTGTCATACAAGTGAGCGGTTTAGCTAGCTATAAAACAAGGTTTAATCCACCATTTTCTACATAAGGAAATGTCTGTACCAAGTCAGGAATATGACAGTTGTTTTCCATATGTTAAAGGTTTTGATTTTTTCATTTGTTAAGGGACTTTCCTTTTTGAAATTTTCTTTGGAGTTCGGTATTTTTGTTATTTTACGTTTTGTTTCAATGACGTTGTGGCAATACAGGTTGTACTGTGTCAAGCGGCCTACTATAGCTTCGAGTAATGCCTTTCTTTGTCGGCTTTATATATTTATATACATGAATATTTAGACTAGATAATGTTATGAACAAAACATCATGGTTTTCTTCTCATGAAAAAATTGATAGATATATTTAATAAATGATGACTGTTGTTTTAGTCTGGGACTTGATATTCAACATTCGAAGGCCGGAATGCAGGCATGTGGCAGCACAAATAGTTAATGGTATGTTTTACTTGTAGTTACATTTAAGTGCATTCTGATTAATTTAACGATTTAAGTGCAAATTTACTCAGAAAAGGACGATCGCAAGTTGTTAATACCACCATTTTGAACATGGTTGCTTATGACAATAACAAATTAAACAAGTTATTTAAGATATTTGCTTTTCGTTTACATTTGACTCATCATTGATGCACGATTAAAATAACACTTTTTAACAAATCGCACAATAACCCAAGTATACTGGAGTTGATTAACATGAAACTTAATGATGTTTTTGGGATTAGTGAAGAAAATCCCTTTGAATTCAACATTTTTTGATTTGTTGTTCCAGAGACACTTGTCAGATTAAACTAACGTTTTCGCATGTCACGCATTGACTAGAGTATATTTGTACCATTTTACATCAAACTTAACAATATTATTGGGGTTGACAAAAGTAAATGTTATGCTATGTAAGAGTTGACTTTAACACTCATATTTAGGTAGATTTCAAATATCGAGCACTTACTCGAGTACGCTTGAATAAATTTAGTTCAAACCATGTATGGATTTGTGAAAGTAAGTTTCTTTTTGATTTTGAAGATCATCCAATTTGTCATTCTAGAGTTATAAGACTTTCAATTACCATTGAAATGGAATTACTCATTTACCGTGCAATATGATTATATCCGAGATTATGATTAGATTAATTTATCTGAAACTTTATTTTTTTCATTTTTTTTAGATTAGTGAAAGTAGGCTCCTTCATGATTTTGAATAATTTCGATTTTTTTACATATATCTTATTTGGTGTTAGTTGAAATTGGCTTAAAATATCTTTCCGTAAATACGAGCACTCTTATATAGTTCTATATAGTTTTGTCTTAATATTTTTTTTATGATTCTGATTCGCGCCGATCTTGTGATTACAATGTCGACCCTCTCGATTATGAATTTTACCTAATTGATTTTATCATCAGCTTTTAGCTAGATATAAATTAACTCAACGTTTTCCACCATTGAATCAGGAACGTCTTACCCGTCCAGAGGATGCAAGTTTCCCCTCTATTTCGCTTGGGTTCCCGTTGCTCAAATTAAGTTTTTATGTGGTGTTTGTTGTTTCTTCATTTTTCGTCTGGTTGTGGTGTTGTCCATCCTGGTTTGAATCATGTTTTTGAATGCCTTGGCCTCTTCCTACTCCATAAAAACAAAATATGACAATACTATTTCATCATGGTGATAAACATAGACTGTTGGAGATTGACGCTGTTATAAACCTATACTGTTGGAGATTGACGCTGTTATGAACCTAGACTGTTGGATATTGACGCTAATATAAACATAGACTGTTGGAGATTGACGCTATTATAAACATAGACTTTTGGAGATTGACACTGTTACAAACATAGGCTGTTGAAGATTGAAACTGTTAAAGGAATTCCTGATTTGTTTCTATTTTGTCGTTCCAGACAAATTTCACAAATTTAATAGAGACCAATGCGAATGCAGTGGTTCATACACCCACTGGCGTGAGTATAACTTTTACGACTTTAACAATTTCATATGATAGCTATTGTGAATTGAAGCAGTCACGGTTTGATAATCAGTTGTATAAATTTTGTAAATTATATTTGTTAACTTAATCCAATAAAACACTTACAAAATTTGTATTTGATTCAACAGAACATTCGTGTTGATTCAAGAAGAAATTTATTTTGCCAATGGAAGAACTTTTAGAAATATCTAAAAATCTTTGAGTTTATTGTCAAACAAAATCACACTATTACGAGATATATAAAGTTAAAATAATTTGGTATATTGAACTCTTAAAAAAATGTTTACAATTACATGGTTATATTTAAGGGTTCTGTTTAGTAATGATATATATCAAATACAATGACAGAGTTAAAGGAGCTCAGATATGAGAATCGGACATTTGAATTAGAATAAGAAACAGTTATCATTTCATCTTCCACTTCATACCGGTGCTAAGGGCCGTCTTAAAATTGCTGTGAGGTGAGAATTGTTTTCCTTTGTGTTGAAGGCCTCACTGTGACTTTACGATGAAGAACAGCAATTAAAGCACTGTCCCTTTGCTTTTTGTGTGTAATTTGCTGTGCATGTACTGATTTTGTGTCATGAATGAATACCCCATATACTATTTGTTCTAGTGAGGATGAAATTATTAAGATAGTTGTTATCTGATATAAAATGATACTTTTGATGAATCACCATAATGTTCCTTTATGTTGAAGAATAATAAATTACATAAGCATAACATTCGTTACTAAACGTAAAAAAAAGAAAATTAGAATTATCATTCCATGACAACAAGTCCCATTCGAATACAATTGAACTTATGTTATTTTAAGATGTGCTTCGATGGCAAAGCTTAAAAAACATTTTCGATATCGTATCAACCCTTCCAAAACTGTATTCTACAGCAATCGACTGCTTTAAATAACATTTAACTTTATGTTTATAAAATATATAAAATTGTTGTTACATTACAAAACCTTTTAAAATTCATGTTAATTTTTTTCTGACTTAATTTGAGCACTTTGATTTATTCTTTATGATACCAAACATTTTGATTCTTATTTATGCATGTGAACAGATTACAGTTTAAAAACTCATCAAAGATTACAGGATTATATGTTTTTACGCAAGACGCACGTTTTTCCCACATAAGACACAACAGTGGACTAAAAAATGAAAGGTCAAATCAAATATGAAAACATGATCTGACCGAAAAGATTTTAAATTGAATATGTGTTACATTTATTGTTTTCCACTTTAGCCTTACGATCTTACAAGTATCAGTCAGATCATTGTGAAAGACACTTTGGTAGTAAGTATCAGCATATCTAGTATACCTAATAACTTCAGCGGAGTCTTAAGAAATGCTGTTTAATTTATCTTGTTAAATGTGATTAATCTTTAATATGACTCTTCTAGTTTTGTTTAAGTTTGTTTATTTAAAAAAAAAACACACAGTTGCATGTGATTTCCTGATTTTCCGAATAGCAACTAATCATGCCATCATTTGTTTAAAATTGTCTTTTGAATTTGGTACGTTTGTGTCAACAGTTTTTATCAATATACATAAAATTTTCCCAGGTTCTTAATTGGAAATATATCTCCCTCATGCAAATCTCTGATTCCTTGCTCGGCTTTTGACTATACATTTTGTTCTTTTGGTTTGTTAGATCTTCATTTTTTACTAAGTTTTGGATTTTCAAAATTTTTGCCACGAGCGTCACTGAAGAGATATTTAATTTCGAAACGCGCAAATGGAGTTTCTTTTAGGTCACTATTAATAGTGTTTTCAATTACGGGAACAGCAAACATTTCCCTTCACAAAGAGCGCTTTGATCAAAAAGAATTACTGTCTTTGTCCTATTAGAATAGAAATAATTCATTGGGGCTTGAATTGATATTGAATTTACCACGGGTCAGCCCTTTATGCTGATATCTTAATTTCGAAACGCGCATCTGGTGCACAAAAATTGGAACCGTTAATGTTGTTCTTAGTAACACAGATTATATTATTTCTGTTTCACGACAATGTATAAAAGCATTCGATGACACTGACACTTACAGATGCATTTCTGTCTTATAGAGACCTCTCAACACCTCGATTTTTTGTGAGGTTCGTGTTTCTCAATCTTTAGTTTTCTACTTAGTGTTTTGTGGAATGTTGTTGTCTTTTTGTAATATTTTACTGCCATGGTTTTGTCAGTTTCTCTTCGAAGTATGAGTTATTTATGTCCCCTTAGTATCTTTCGCCCTTTTTTCTCCTTTTACCAAGTGTTACTCCCTTAATAATTGCAAAAAATTAATTCTAATATGACGTATTTCAAACGCTTTGAGTACACACTCTTAGTAAAACCTGAATATATTGATATGTCAGCTGATCGTCATCGTCATTGATTGTTTGGCGCGGTTCCAATCTTACTCCCAAGTCGCTCGCTTTTTGTGAATGACTTACCCCAGGTCAGATGGTGTAAATGACGTCATTGGACTAGAACGTTAGAATGTAAACTTTTTACGGGAAAAAGTACGAATGGGAAACTGAAAGAGATATTGAAAACCAATCTTCTTAAATGAAAGTAAGATATCTAATTAGATTCATCCTATCTAGTATGTTATTGTAAATCGTTTAAGCATGTCACTAATTCATATTTCTTCGTCTTTTTGGTCAATATTAATAGTGTGTTCAATTACGGGAATAGCAAACATTTCCCTTCACCAAGAGCGCTTTGATCAAAAAGAATTACTGCCTTTGTCCTATTAGAATAGAAATAATTCGTGGGGACTTGAATTTATGTTGATTTTACCACGGTTCAGCCCTTTATGCTGATATTTTAATGTTTAGCACAAAGGGCCAAGCCGTCGTAAATTCACGATAAATTCAAACCCCTATGAATCTTTCTTTCAATAACACAACATAGTAAAAACAATTCTTTACATGTTGATATGAAAATAACACTTTATAAATTTCGTGCGTACGAAATGCACTTCCGGAATTACCTTCATAAGACACGCTTAATCAAAATCATTTTAAAGCCAGCGACTCTTTTCACAAAAAATCTTACGAGTAAAAACACTTGTAAGTCATGATCATTTCAGTATAACTTACGATCAATTTTAGTCGTAAGATTTTTTGTGAAAAGAGTCCCTGGGATGTAGGAAAGCGTTCAAATGCTAGGAGCTATATTACCAAAAGGGACTTGCTAAGGTCAACATTGCCTGAGGGTGTTTCGAAACTTAGTTCTATAGTAATTTCTTAATTTTTCCTCAAGGAAATTTTGAAAAGTATGTATAAATCATATCAGTAGCGAACCTTGATGACGTTACTGAGCTGATGATATTTAATCAGCAGTGGTATCAATCCCGTGCTGGTAAACGAAAATATACTTTATGAATAACGTAAGCGATTTTGTTTAATTACCTGCATCAGGAGCTCTCAAATCAAAACATTTGAAGAGCAGGATTTTATGAATGCACAATTAATTATTGTCATCTCGAGTAGAACATAGATCTGATTATAAAATATTGATCGCATATTCATCTGCGATTAGTTATGTATAAGTTTGAAGAAGAATATCAACGTTATACAAGCAACGACGAATTCTGTAAAAAAAAAATCAAGATATTAAGCAATGAAAAACCTCACCGAAAACTGTGGCAAATACAAGCTCTTCGAAGGAATAAGTTCTTCATGCTCGAATATTGACACTCGTTGCTAGAGTTAAATAATGTAAAACAATTTATAATTATTATAAACACATTTGCAGGTCTTCTAGCGCATTATACAAACTGGAACCAACATTGTCATACACATCTATTTGGTAAGTATCATATATGGATCATCTACTTCCATAATCTACTCCTCCGCCTCGGTATCAGCATCTTCACCTTCAGCAACACAGTTTGCAAATCTTTCAAAAATGTTAAAGGTTGAATTTATCCATGCAAATACAAATTTAAAATCTAAGCGGAACCAAAGATTACTAAGTTGTCCACAAATACAGGGCATCGAACAATATCGTGTTTACATGTCAATTACAACAAAGCATTTACTTGATTTGCATTGGCAATTCAGTCAAAAAGACAACATACACAGCAACAAAATGTACTAAAGAAGTCATTTAGACGAAACCATGTAAGTTTAAAATTCTTTTGGATCTTCCGTCTTGAATCTTTACTGGATTCGTGTATATTTATGTATTCACAATCAATTCAATATTGCTAGGTCTGCAAAAAGGTCCAATAAACCTCTGTTTAAGTTAGTATCAACATCAATTCTATCGGCAACCAAATTACTTAAAAACATCTACTTTAGGCGCGATGCGAATTGCCAAAAAAAGCAAAGATCAATAAAGTACCTTGTCTCATGTAATATTAAGACAAACTCATGAAATATGCCAGGCTTTTGCATTTGTACGCCAGACATGTGACTTCTCCACCATTCTTTATATCAGTCTCATTCTTAGATGAAATGCAGATAGAAAGAAATCTAAACGTTCAAACGTATATTCAAAAAGATGGGTCTTATTCAAATAACATTTTCTCTGAAATTGGAAACATCAAAGTCTTTCACTTTTTTTAATTGGTTTTGCAAACACATTTTTTAAATATTTTGAACGTGTTTTTTTTTATAAATAAAAGTTAGTTTTCGCAGTAAAGTAAACATTGATACTCTTCTCATCATCATTATCCTTCATACATACGAAGAAGATTTCATACAGGGGCTACTTAAGAGCAATGAAAAACAATTTAGGACTTTCCACAAATTATTCGAAGTTTGGTGACTATATTGATCTCGTCTGTCTGTCTCGTGGAACTTAAAATACTGGAAACCATAGATGCAGCTTGGCTTCACACGTTCAAGGCACATCAAGAACTCGACATGAACTGAGTTATTTACTATTTGGTGACTAATCTATGCTGATCGCATATATTTTATTGAACTTATAAAATGGGTATCACGGATATATTACGGTCTAGCATATTAAGTTATAAGCCTGATATATTTTATGATTTTTTTTTTTCATACCAATACTTTCACCTATAAATTGACAACGTTACTGATGAAAAACATGATTTTTTTTGATTTTCCTGATGTGAATTTACCATTTTTATAATCAACATTTTAATAGCGCCTCCATATAGACTACTGTCTCAAAATATATGCGATATTGCAGAGCTTGCGTTTAATATAATGCGGGCTATTGCTTACAAGATGCTCATATGTTCTTAATTGTAAAGTTGATGTAATCGCTTCGTTTTTACGGACGCCATTGTGACATTGATCTTTGTGATTAAAGTGAACACGATTTGTAAATTATGTTTATAATTATGTATTCAGTTGGACATATCACGGAATGATTACGTATCATAAGCAGCATAACAGGTGTCACTAGAGGAACAGGAACTGTTTGGCGATCGGGGGGGAACATTTGACCTCGATGGCCCGTCGTTCTTTTATTTGTCTTTCTGGTCTTCCTATGGTTATTACTTTTTCACTTTATTGGTTCGCACTTCCAATTTTTCATTACAGTTACAATTTGTCTCGCATTGTCTCACATGTGATGTTTTTAAACTTTTTTTCTAGTATGGAATAACTTACGCCAGATTCCAACTGATCATCAGGGTCAATATAACTATTTGTGTATTTATCGTTTAGCGGAAGAAATAAAAAATGGTAAGTCTTTAGAAGGAAAATGTAAATTTGTCTGAAATTACTTTGTTTTGATGTAACGATAACACTATACTATATCAATGTCGATAGCATTATTACAACATTCAACACAAAGTCAAGCGCAAAAATAAACATTAAAGCAAAAGACAAGATAAACTATAAAAAGGGAAAACATATCAGGCGTTTGAAAGAGAAACAAAAAATGTTCTGCGTACTCAAAATGATTTTAAATTATCTTTTTAATCGAGTTTTATTAAAACGTAACACCCACATGTAAAGAGAAAATGAGAAACATTCAGTTTTAACGTGTCAAGCTTTGGTTAATGCAAAATATTTAGTAAAAAAAAATGTTTCAAAACTTCCTAACAGATCTTTTTTTATTTGGTTAATGGGAAATGAAGATAAAAACATTTTGAAAATAATTTGTCAATTATTATAGGTTTTAAATAAAAACAGAAATACAATATTAAATTAGATTACTTTATAGTTATAGATATATATGATCATATATATGCATTTACGTTATTTACATTTGATTTAAATTAAAATAATGATAATACATAGTGGTGTGCTATCCAGTAAAGGATCCAGAATAACGAACAATGGGTCACATTATATATTTTTATTATTACAAATAACTTATTTCATTTACTTTGATATTAGATGTTAATCAATTAAATCAAAACTAATCATGTTATACTTTGTTTAACCTATTTGTGGTTTACTTATGTCTAAAAGTTCTATTGTAATTATTCTGCTCATTTTGGGCGCCATGATTGGTAAATAATGTATGTATTGTTGTTGTTGTAAAGAGAATTATCAGATTATACTGGATTTAGTTCCACGTTGGCAAAAACAGTTTTACTGTTTGGCAAATTAGATTTATTGTCGCTATAAAGATTCGGTAAATATAGCATGAATGAGCAAGTGGTGAAACTTATTATGAGAATAGACAAAATAAAGTGTACATACTCCATAAAGTTTATACGTGTAAAGAACAGTTACAAAATTAAATTATACCGTAATTATTTTGATGTCTCATCATTGGTGGTGGAAATCAAATGTTTGGAATGTGAAAATAAAAAAATTTTTTTTTTAGGCATTCCAAAAAATAAAAATAAAAAAACATGAAAATGACAATTCAACACCAACTCAAAAAACAAATGTGTATCCTGAAAATAACTGGAATTTAGAAAAAAAGAAATCTGTTGAAAACTTGACTGAATATTTGGGAAATGTATTGTAGACAGATTCAAACTCTTTTCGCAGACTTGTTCAAATTCAAAACTAAATTTGGCTTCTTAAATATTTTGGTTTCGAGCGTACCTGTTGAATATTGTCGAAAAACATGTCTTTAAAAAAAACAATGATATCGTATGATTTTTTGCTGGTACAAAAAACACATTTCTTGATAAAAAAAAATGGTATCATACGGTTTTACTATTTCCAATGTTGGTTCGAAATAACGTGTCTTGCAGTGATACATATAGAATAATGCATAGCAAAATCTGTATCGCCTGCTGTATCACCAAGAGGAACCAATATCAGTCCCGAGGGCTAAGATGAAATTTGAAAAAAAGGCAGGACAGGAATTTTGAGTAAAATAAAAGGCAGGATGAGCAACTTTGCAAAAAAAAAGGCAGGATGACAATTTATGTAAAAAAAGTCAGGATAAACTAATAAAAAAAAAGGCAGGACCGAATGGAGTGAAAAATAATAAGGCAGGACAGAGATTACAACTAAAAAAATGCAGGACACAATTTTTCATCCTAGCACCATCTATTCAAAGAGTAAGGACAGACAAACAGAGGAATTCCTATATATATATATATGAACTCCACATATTCGACATGGTACCAATTTTGCTGCACTAAATATGTGTATACTTCGAACTAAATATTAGAGTTGGAATTTCCACAAATGAAACTATGATGCTGATACTGATGAATAAATATTAATGTAACCACATTTTATTTTTGATCTAATAAACAGAACAACAATATCATATCAAGGATCATATTCTAAAGCAAAAACAAATTAATAACTAAAAGAGAAATCTAGTCATTTGTTAAAATAATCCATCATTAGAATTTCTAGTCGTAATCTGGCATAAATTACTTATTTTGTTTAGCAAGTATTTGGTGTCAAAATTTCTTTCCTACCCTCTTTTGGATGCATGTAATTTATAAATTTGTTTTTTTCCCATTTGGAACCTCATAATGATACATGTACATTTAATTTGTTAAAACCACTTTTAATATTTACATTATTCAAAATAATTGAGATTTTGAAGTGAACATTGCTATTAAGGAAAAGTATCAATGTACATACATGAAGTATTGCTACTTAATACAAAAGGTATAGAATAGTAAATTATAAATTCCATACTTTTATTACCTCAGTTCGATTGCATCAAAGTTAACACATGTACATGTAGTTTAAACAAAATAATAGTGGAGAGAGAATGGGTCTTTTGATCATTTTCCAAATTTCTAGTCTGAATCATTGTCATAAATGACCCATTTTCTCTTGCAGGTATTTTTCTGAAATTCTAATAAAATGTGGTTACATTTCGTATCATGCAAGGAAGTACGCCAACTGGACGTCATGTGTCCAACTTTGACGTCATTCGATATATGACGTCACGCCCGGTATGCGATACGGCTTTAGCTATGCGATACAGGGTATGCGATACGGGTTTAGCTATGCGATATGGGGTATGCGATACAGGGTAAATGATACAGACTGGAGAAAAGAACCTGTATCAGATATACTAAATTGCTGTATTTAGTACTAAATATATGATAAATTGGCATCCTACAGATATAAAAAAAGTAAAAAAAACAAAAAACCGAACTCCAAGGAAAATTCAAATCAGAAAATCAGAAAATCCCATATAAAATGGCAAAATTAAAAGCTCAAACACATCAAACGAATGGAAAACAGCTGTCAAATTCCTGACTTGGTACAGGCATTTCCTTATGTAGAAAATGGTGGATTTAACCTGGTTTTATAGCTAGCTAAACCTCTCACTTGTATGATAGTCTCATAAAATTCCATTATATAAACAACAATGTGTGAACAAAACAAAACAGACATAATTGGTCTATTACTACGATCTTATCGTTCTTTTGGCTTTTTGATTTTAAATTACTAAGTGTACATGTACCAACCACAAAGTTGCAAGTGCTTTGGTATAATAGGATACTATTCAATTATATTCAAACTGATCATTTATGATTGTACTTATTTTTACAGCAATGCATTCTTCAGTAAATACATGTCAATGCTGGAAAAAGAACATTGTTACCATTGACACAACAGGTAAGATGTGCACAAGTATATAAAAATCCATCGCTTAACTTCCTATTATAATCTTTTAAGATCCAGGAGTGTCCAGATTGAATCATTTTGTGAGATAAAAATAAGGATGATACCAACGCTGTAATAAAAAAAAACTATACATCGCCAAGACAACGACATCATGTCGCAATAAAAAAAATGATAACACAAACAACAGTCCACAAACCACTACTGAAATTTGGCAACATGAACCTAAAAACAGGGAATAAATCAGAGCCATCTGAAAGAGTATGCAGTTCCTGTCCTTCTCGTTACACCGCTCTTTCTACTCATCTTAAATATAAATCCGGTGATAAGTCATATCTTGTAATGTAGAAAAGACATAGAACGCCTAGTCCAAAAAACAAATGGTAAAAAAATAAAAGATTGAGGAGTAATAGCTCAACCAAAACCCGTTGGTGAATTCCATGCTTAAGCAGCAGGGAATAAGCAGTTCCTTCACCAATACAATTTTCCATTGGGTTGCTCACGTATGAACATGTGGAATGTATATTTTTCTTTGTGTTGCAGTTCCAATCACTACCACTCAGACAACTCCAGGTAAATAACTTATTATATTTTATGAATGAAAAAATTATGCGTATGAAAGCATTTGTATGGTTTAGATTAAGCTATCGGGAGACGCATTGAATAGCAGAAGACACTTGACCTATCCGTGCATCCGGTCTCGATCCGTCTTTCCTTAAACTATTCCGAGCTTATCTGAGTATAAATTTGTTTAGCGATGTTCAAATCAAATAAATCCTTTGAAGCAGATACAAATCAAGATTTAAACAAAGCTTTAGGAGATCGCATTAATTTCAAACGGATCGTATCTTGATATGTATGCATCAACTTTCATGCAAATTAAACTGGATTAAACGTCACAATAGTAGAATAGAACACAAGTGGTAAATGTACAGATCAGACGACTATTCTGGTATCTAGAATTCGTTATCATACATATCATGTCATTATTATTGGTTTGGGTACCCTAGTTCTAACAATCCGGGCAATCGGGCTTCCTCCACCAATAACATCAGGCCACCTCGATATAGTGAAGTGGCGTTGAACACTACCAATCAATCAATGCTATCATTATTAAAAGTTTGGTAACGATGTAGATCGTTTCCGTCATCTTGACCTTGGAAGAAAGATTTTAAGTGATTATCATAATTTGACTAACATCTAGAAATTGACAAGGAGGGTCGGTTGAGAACGTAAAGACATAGAGATGAATTTCATTTATATAGCAACATTCCAGCAACACGTGCACATGCAGTATATTATATACATTGTGAGAAAAAAAAAGCTAAACATAGAAAAGACAACCGCAGCATACCTCAATGGAAAAAAGACGATCACATAAACAACAGTCTACAGTACGGAAAACTAAATATTTTGGCAAATGAACCGCCGGGAATGAAATCAGAGCCATCTGAAAAGAATTCAGTTACTGTCCTTCTCTTTGCATCGCTCTTGTTGTTCATTTCAAATATAAATTAGGTGATAATTCGCATCCTGAAATGTCGTGGATAAAAAATAGAACACCTAGGGTGAAAGACATATGGTAAAAAAATAAAGATTGGAGAGCAATGACAACCAAAACCCGCAGGTGAATTGCATGCTGAAATGTCTGTGAAATGTCTGTGAAATGAAATATGTCATTATTTGTTTTGTAGAATCTACTACATAAGCTGTCCTTGAATAACAAAACAGAACCTTTATAATTACCCATACCGTATTCCTGGATTTAACAGCTCTGTCATTATACATTACAAAGTTTTCTCCTGATACATTTTAAACGAAACACGAATATGAAGATTGTATATTTTTCTTTATGTTGCAGTTCCAACCACTATACCACTCAAACAACTCAAGTTAAATAATTTATCATATTTCATGAATGAAAAAATTAATCGTATGACAGCATTTGTATGGTTTGGATTAAGCTAGCGGGAGATACATTGAACAGCAGAAGATACTTGCCCTGTCCATACATACGGTCTCGATCCTTAAACCGAAGCGTCTCCTGATATGTATGCATTACCCGTCATGAAAATCAAAACGGGTTTAAATGTCACAATAGGGGATAGAACACAATTGGTAAATGAACAGATCAGACGACTATTCTGGTATCATACGTTTTATATTATCATTATCTGGGCAATCTTCCGCCAATATATAGTTTATATACCTTAAAGAGACACAGTTTTGTTTGTAATTGTTAGATGTTGTTGCAGAAACACACGTGCCAATATTTTTTATTTATTTTTTCAGTTCCAACAACAATAGCCCAGACTATAGCAGGTAAATAGATTATGATATATTTTCATTGAACAAAATAAACGGAAGTCTGGTCTATGACTAGCCGTTGCTGCTGGACTAATCCGATCGCTTTTGTATTTTTCATGATCATGATTATTTCATGATTTATTGTGGAAATGATTTAAAAGAAATTTTACAGTGTACAAAATGATACATCATTTTTTAATTTTCAAGGTTATCTCCGAGATACACGAGTGTTCCGCAGCTTAATTTAGGACACTTTTGTGTGTTATTTTTGGTTTGTTGCTCTTCGACGTTTGCACCTTTCGATTACAAATACTGAGCGTGACTGTCGAGTAATGAAATTGCGAAGTCCATTTATTATGCCTTAAATAAAGGCAACAGTAGTATACCGTTATTCGAAATTCATAAATCGATTGAGAAAAAAAACAAATCCGGGTTACAAACTAAAACTGAGGGAAACACATCAAATATAAGAGGAAAACAACGACACAACAGAAACTCAACACTAAAATGCAACACACACAGAGAAACGAACTATTTTAAGTTGCTCGTGATTTTGAAGTGAAAACCAAGTTTTTTTTTCGCTCGCAACAATGACCAACCACTTCTTGAATATAAGAATTATCCCACATATATATAGAGACGGACACCACAAAAATAATATAGAAAATGAAAAACAAGAATTACCACAAATGTAGGACAGTACACAGGTCACGCCAACCACCAACATCTGAACCCTTCAAAACAAAATAAGCATATAAATAAAGACAAATAACGAACCAACATTGTCCAGAAAGAAAGTAATGAACTCTACGGTCCAGTTTAATATAGTGGTCAAGAAATCAATTTGTATTTTGGATATGCGTTTCTAGTCGCCTTTGAAGCTCTTATCAGTAAAAGGGAATGGAAAATTATAAATTGCGATTTTCCGAAGAAAGATTTCCGAAGTATTATTTTTCACGCATTGGAGATTGTGAATTGGCATTTTCGAACTTTCACTTTTTGATATTTTTTTGCCTGTCGCGCATGGCGTCTTACCGTATAGATTTCATTTCCTTTTTCTTCAGTTTCGTTCAATTTATTGCTGACATAGTCATTAGATACTTAGATATACACATAAATTAACAATTCTCAAACACAAATTCCAAGATTGTATATATGTTATACTCATTTTGAATATAAGAAGATGTGGGATATACTTCAATGATACAGCAACCCAACGAGACAACTCAACGACATCTAGAGGTGTATTACATGTATGTGTGTTAACACGGATGAGAAGTAACAGTTATAAGGCGAAAGTTTTACGCATATGCGTAAAACAATTGTTTATCAGAATTAGATGCCATGATAAGGATGTCATGATTCCAGCATAATACTTATTGGACGCCTGTTTTACATCAGTAAAATGTTTGTTTGGTCACTGGGTTTTACGTCATTAGCACATAAGTTCAAACGTAAATTAAACACATGTGTTTATCTTTAAAACGTTCGCTATAATCAGAGGTCGGAAGGCGAACTTTTGAATGTTGACGTTTAACTAGTTGGTTGCACTGTTTTATTTTATTATCACTATATGATTTCTCATCAGAAACCAATGGCAGTACTGAATAGAATATGGATTTGAATAAAACAAAAGAACGTACCCATAAATTTAACTAGATATGTGTAGAAACGAATTTGGCAAAGAAAGGCTAAGTATAATTGATAAGTAAATTGAACATTCATACTAGTAAATACACATGTATATACTAAACATTGTCATGTATCTGCAGCTAGCTGCGATCCTGTGAAAACGTTGACTGGTGTTGCTCACAATACGGTAGTTGGACAGACCTCTAAATGCCAAGATGGCATTCATAGTCCAGCAATTTACTTTGTTCAGTCTGCTTGCAACTTAGCCTATCGTTTGACAGATTTATCACCAGGTCAAAAGGTGAGATTTTTTTTTATTGCTCTAATTTTTAAAGAATGTTAGAATAATTGAATATAATTTCCAAATAGTTTCATTAAACCAACAACTATTAATCTGACCATGCAATGATGCAGCACAAAGCCCTAGAAGACCAAATGATACATAATGTTTTACAAAATATCAAGTCCATGAAATTATGCACCAGACTATATTTTCAACTCCATGGGACAAATTTTAACAAAGACGTTTTTTTACTGTTTTATTGAGGCCTTTTGGGGTTTAATACTCGCTAACGTTTTGTACTTTTGACTATCAAAACTTTCGGACATGAGCTTACATGATTAAAGGTATTCTAGGGACATCTGTTGTCCGCAAGGAAATCTAGTCATTTGTCGTTTTACTATTACCCTCTCTGAGTGTGCCTATTTACAAGTACTTCGGTATTTTAATGATTTTAATAATTATATAAATGTATTTAAATCAAACCCTACTATGATGCAATCACATTGTTAGTCCGTCCGTCCGTTCTTCCAACAATCATTTTCCTTACACTTTTCTCAAAAAACTACCAACATGCGGCACCATGACCAAACGCCTAAAGATATGGGATGAAAGACAACTAACAATCAATAAAAAAAAACAACACCTTGAAAAATGACACAAAATGAACGACACAAGTCCCACCAATAATCGGGGGAGGGGATTTCCTCAAAGCGTCAGCAGTTCTTGCTCTCCTTGTGGGAATCGTCGTGTTACTTCTTTCAAAATCGATTGCTGATACATATCCAGTAGAGGTATTGCCTCACACGAAAGATGATTGGTAAATGTCTTCTGGCTAAGACAATACAAAAATTATTGTCCATCGGTAAGTACATGATCTACATTTAAGTTATATCACTTACATACATGACATAGAGGTCCTTAATTTCTGTATTCCTTGAATTTCTTTTATTAATATCTTTAAAAATAAAAATAACGCTTATTTTGTAAAATTCTCATGAAATTGATTTGATTTACTATAATGAATTTTTCTGTTATTATAGGATTTCTTTTTTCTTTACATCATTCATTTCTGTAATCAGTATTGTATTACCAAATTCTTTTATCAACCACAACCCATTATTCTCTATTCTTTAATTTATTCATTATTGTTTTTACCATTATTCTCTGTTCTGTAAACCCCATCCAGACCCTCATTATCTAACCCTTTTTCCTTTTAGATGAAAGATGCGTGTCAGAATCTCCCACACTACACTGGAGTAGCTCGTTTTGTTGGCAAACTTTTAGACACTAGCCAGACCAACAGCGATGCTGGAATATTTATTGGATGTGGACCAGACCACTTCAAAGTAAGAAATGTCAATATTCAGATTGAAAATGAATATTTACTGGTATACAAATTGGAAGATGTGATATGATTGCCAATGAGAAACTTTCATCCAAACAAAAAAGTACAAGGATTTTAAAAAGAAACCACGGCATTCTGCAGCAAGGTGCAAATTCCATACAGTATAGAAAGTTTAAAAAGAAGCTTGGATAACAAAATGTGAATAAATTAAAAACAATACAGTGTATAAGCAAATAGCATTAAATAAAAAACAATCAGTATGTCAGACAGCTACAAACGGGACTACATGCTCCTAGCTATCAACCGGGACGCAAAGAATGTGGAGGGGTAAACAATATGTTTGTGAGAGCTCAATTCTCCTCTTAACCTTGGACAGTGGTGTAGCATGACAACATTAGAACAAACTATAAAATCTGTTGAAAAAAGCTTGACTTATCAGTTCGGTGGTAAGCACAAAAAATCAAAACAAACCAACAATAAACGAAGTTCCGATCCAAGAGTACTCGAAGTTACTGAAAGGTAGTTCAAATCCCAAATTCCAACTAATAATAAGACCATGTTTTCACAGACCAGAATATTATTCATGAAAACTCCAATGAATTTAATGTAATACTTGGTCATTTAAGCAGTTTGAGAAAAAAATATGACCTTGTGCAATGCAAAACTATCAATATCGACGGCGTGGATAACCCTAAGAGTGAAATACTGGATAGCAATTTATGTTTAGTTATGTATTTGACTTATTGAGATCGAAATCAATGTTAGCACCAATAAAGACAATATTTTAAGATATTTTAAAATGTCATATTGACAACTTTCGAGAACAAATTTATTCAAATTCTATTAATAAGTTAACATGAATCGTATCAGTTTACTTTAAGATAGTCAAGATGATTTTTTTTTCTCTACATTACATACGGTCATACAATTTTGAGTAAGACTCTGAAATCAATGTACATAGCGCCACAGTTCCGGGATATTCCACACTCCGGCACCGGAGTCTTTCCCGTAATCGGAAGAAGAAGAAGAAGAAGAACCAATCACAATACTTGGTTTGTTATTTCGATAACCGGGATATTCCACACTCCGGCACCGGAGTCTTTCCCGTAATCGGAAGAAGAAGAAGAAGAAGAACCAATCACAATACTTGGTTTGTTATTTCGATAACAAATGACTCTAAAAATCAAACTCAGTACTCGATATTTTATATTCTTATTTTCATTAAAGTAAGAGAATAAGCATCTTTTGCTACGCGTGCTTCAATCGCCATACATTCTCATGTGTTACGATATCAAGACAGACTAGAGACTGGCCGAAGACCGTATGTTGACCTCTATATGTCTTGGTTTTTACTGTTTGGTAGGATACTGACTTATATTAATTAACAGTATTTTCCACATCATTTTATTCATATTTATTATCTGTGTTTCTCTTCAGGTTGTTACAGAAAATTGCACCACTAACCTACACGTAGAGCACATTCTATTTACCGACCCTAAAGCAGACAGTTACTATGTAATTAATCATCCATAAAATCTGATATATAAATTGAAGAAATAAATGGCAAAGATGGGAAACATTTTAGTTGTTTATTACGTTTTGCCATCGGTGTTACTTTGCTTCCCGTGAACCCCATTATTCAGTTTTGAACAGAAATGTTCCAATTAACTATGGATAAATATCGGCATATTGGTATTCTCGATCATCCAGACGATCCATATATCATGTTATTATTTGTAGGAAGAACAATATCGCTGGATTAAGAAGACCAGCATTTAAACATATATTCTGTACTTGGATTCCCGGAAATGTCCACTTGTAATACTTTAGTTCCGACAAAGACCGTTTTTCTGTGTTCGATTTCATTTTACACACAAAAGGCACGTGAGAACGTCAAAAATTAGTGTTGGGATCAATAAACGTAGGAGGGATAAGAAGGGGGGAAGAAACGTGTGGTCAATTTTTTTCGGTGGAGTGAAAATTTATTTAAAACATTCCATTTCATTTCAATTATTGCCACATTAACCTATTATGTCTGCTTTGGTTGCTCACCCAATTTTGTCAATATAACGAAACTATAAACAATTGTCATACAAGTGGGATGTTTTGCTAGATATAAAACCTGTTTTTCTAGATATGAAACCAGGTTTAACCCACAATTTCTTTATAAAATGCCTGTAACAAGTCAGGAATCTGACAGTTGTTTTCCATTCGTTCCGTTGGTTGATATAGGCTAAAGTGTGATTTTGTCAGTTTTTATGGACTTCCTCTTTTTGAATTTACCTTGAAGTTCGGTATTTTTGTAAATTACTTTTTTTATACAATTATTTTGAGTTGCAGTTTATAAAAGTTTTGAATTACTCAAAAATATTTTTTTTAAACTCCAGGCATCTATCGCCTCGGCCGAGTGTGGCATTCTTTTGCAGAATTCTTTACTTGCAATGCTCTGCAAATTTGGTTGATTTGGCCTTCACACTTCTTTGTTTGAACGCCACTGATGAGTCTAATGTAGACGTAACGTCTGGCGTTTGATTTCTTAAACATAATCTGTTGTTGTATTGTCCCCGGAAATCGACCAGTACCTAACCCTTTTTCGTAACAGACTATTTTCATATTACCGACTTTTGACTCCGGAGTTTACATTTTTTTCGACAGGTTACCTACTATGGGGTAGGACATCCTGGTACTCGGTCAAGTAAGAGCAACTTAAAGAGGTAAAATCAATCAAGCTTACAATCGGTACAATATGGGGGGAAATTAACTGTTACATGTTTTCTAAGCACAACAAAATCATCGGAAAACAGCAAACGTTCTCCCTAAATTGCACCAATTATACGTTTGATTTTACTATTTTTGGTCGCTCTCACCTGACAGAGTACCAGGATGTCCTACCACAGAGTAGGTAACCTGTCGAAAAATATTAAATTCCGGAGTCAAAAGTCGGTAATATGAAAATAGTCTATAGAATAATGTCATGTGATATAGGTTTTTCAACATCAACATTTCAGCAACTATTCCGGAATTTTCTTATTGAAACGGATGTTTTATTTCGTAACAATTGTTTCGCAAAGGTAATTTTGTTTTAGTGATCGAACGTAATTTATTTCTGTTTAGTTAATACACTAAAGATCGTATGATTTTTCCCCCTGCCCCGTCCACGGTGGTCAATCCACTGTGGCACATACGTCAACCCAATATATAAATAAGAAGATTTATAAGGACTGCCAATGAGACAACTCCATATTAAGACCTCAGATTAAGGATCGTAACAATAGCTCAAACCATCGAACTGTTGCGGCTAAAAAACGAACTTTATAGAAATGTTGAACACAAAACTAATGTTTGTTTGTTTATATAAGAACAAAATGTTGTTTTACGTTTTAATTATATAAAAACAAAAACCAGATGAAACAGCATGTCCTCTCAATAGACAGGGTGGAAGTTGTGTGGACGGATGAAAAAGAGCAAAATCCGCCTCATCTGTGATGTACCTGTTTTTTTTATTTGTAAAAAGTTCGAGAAACATAAACAGATAGGACCAGTCTATTACATATGTTATATGCAATTATCAATTTATTTGTAATACATGTTCATAATAATTATTAAATCAAAAATAAATACAATTTGAACAAATTTAGTATGAGATATAATTCCTAAGTACTCATAAAAATCAAACCGCCGTGGTGGTCTCGTGGTAGGATGCTCGCCTCAAGTGTGGAGGAAGTCGTTGATTAGATCACTACGTATCACGAATTGTCTCCCTTATACCACATACCAATCTTGACGATCGCTGTTCGATTTCTTTGAAGATATTCTGCAGACAACAAATATCCCATTGTCTGTCTTTATATTCAATATACGTACATAATCGGAAAATATAAAATTCATTTGTACGAGCTTTCGAAACAGGATAAAACGCTAGACTGGTCGAGTTTTTCTCATGTTCCTTACGAGTACAAATACCTATATACATGTATATATGTAAGAAAATATGGTATGATTGGCAATGAGGCAATTATCCACCAAAGACCAAATGATGAAGAGTTTAGCATATATAGGTCACCGTGCGGCCTTCAACAATGAGCAAAACTCATACAGCATAGTCAGCTATAAAAGGCCACCGTACATGACAAACTTTAAAACAATTCAAACGAGAAAACCGGTACCAAAAAATACGAAAAACAAATATAATATATAGCGATCAACAGAACCAGTGAATAGCAAGTTCCTGACTTGGGACAGGCAATATTTTTTATTATCCTGAAATTTAACATTGACGCTTGAAGGTTTAGATTTCTAATTCACAATCGTTGTCTTTATTTTTTCAAAGAATAAATCGATATTGTTACACGCGGACCAGTTAGAGGTCACCTTTTATGAACTGTGATTATTAAAATTTAAAATTAAAAATTAAAGGAAGTTGTGACAATACAACAGTTCATCAAACACTGCAACAAGTAAAACTAATGTTACAAACACCACCAAAAAAGTGAGAGCGAAATCAGGTGCTTCGAAAAGGTAAAAATCTGATTGCAAATTTATTTGCTGCAACTCATATTAAACCTTCTTTTGTAATGAAAAAGATAAATATACTATACATATTAACTGTAACTGTGGTAAGATGATTAAAGCTTTAAACTCTTCCTGGTTATCATCTATGTATGTTTCGACTATAAAGTTCATCAACAGCTATGTTGTAGGTATTATTATGGGCATCAATTTCGTCTCTTTAATAGCAGACGTGTTCCTCTATTGATTTGAAACACAGTGTATGGCCGATCTCGGTTAAAACCAGTCTAAATTCCATTTAATAACAAAATGTATGACTCTGCTACCTTTATAATATGTCTGCTTTAAATGATCAACAGTTTTCTAATTATAATGCAGATATTTACCCCAAGGAACTTACTGGGGCCATTGCACAAGGGATTGCTTATTACGTCTTACATTAAATCAGTTGGAAGTGTACTGATTGACATTTTTGTCTAGGAGACATATTGGTTTACTTATTAGTTCATTCATCCTATTATATCTGTCAGTCGATACTAAAGATTCGTCCTGAATATACATGATATACAAAAAAAATGTATTTGCCACTAGAATTAAACAAACATTAATTAATCAATAGAAACGGAAAAAGATACAGAGAGAATTGCGGAAAAAAATCAATCGAGGAAAAGTACCTTTCTCAATTATATCGTTATTCCAGATTCTAAATAACACTGATTTTCTTCATGATTACACCTTATATTATACGTATGCTGGATTTTGATTGGTTGATAGTCAATGTTTTCTTATATCTGATGAATATCGGTCATTATATATTTTACAAAGATTGTCTTATTAGCTACAGAAAATGGTAAATTTAACTGAAGTCAAGGTACCGATCAATGAGGATTTCACAGACTTTTATTAAATTTTGTACCCAATTAAGGTATATTGAACTTGAAACGGAAATCGAAACAAAATTGCATTCGACTATTTCATTTCCTGAAATATTAGTAAAAAAGAGGTCTTAAAATCTTATCTTATTTATATCTCCTTAATTATTTCTACTTACAATTTACAGTATAAAATATATATAAAAAACATTGTCTTGTAACATAAACTTGATATGAAAGTTACCAAGTTATCGTGAGAAAAGCGCGGAGTAGAGTTCTCTAAAAGTATACTCGACACATTTTTATTCAATGTTCTCTCAATTGCCATATCAGGGTCCAATACACCTTATCGCTATTTAGTCCAATCTGGAAAAAAAAAACAGTCACTTAAACAACGTCATGTTTGGGTCCAGTGACGCAACAACAAAGGCCATCAATAATGAGCTGAGGGCGGAAAACGTGTAGAAAGTGAACATTTTGAAATTTGTATAGTTTATGATCCAATTTTTTAAACACAAATTAATGTTAAAAAAATGCTTTGTATGAAGTGTTTACAATGGTTTAAACATAACTCTTTGAAAATTTTTATGCACAGTACATTGTTTAAACAGGGTCCCAGATAGCTTCAACTGGTTTGAAAGAGTTGTGTAATTTTAGAACTTCTAGATTGGAATAAATAGCAGAAAAGGTGTATGAAATCTGCATGGATAATATTCATAAAAGCGTACGTTGAAAACGTTGTACTTTTTTCACAACAGTCCAACCAATGGCGTGACAGTTTTTTCTTCATTTTGGGATACCAGATATGATATTGCTTATAGTCCTTTAGAATCTGAAACAACAAAGGAGTGGGCCCAGTAAGACTCCTTTTTGGCCCCAAGATATAGCAGTTTTACCAAATTGTTAAAATGTAAACTATTAGCTATTTATTGGAAAGTAGAATACTTCTGTTTCATAAATATTGGCTGTTTTTCACTATACAATGCACATGTATCGGGTACTAGCATCATTAAGTCATGCTAAATTACTGAAATCTTCGAAATTTTAGCATTTTAATTAGTTTTTAGACGATTTCCGTCTGAAATGGAAGTGGCCGCATTTGTGTTCATTCTTGATATTTAAATGTAAGTTGTATTTGATGATAATACATAACATATACAAAGGTTGAGAATGAACACGGATGCGGCCACTTTCAT